GACTGAAGGGTCCTGGGTTTGATTCTGGTCAAGGGCATATGCCCTGGTTGTGGGCTCGGTCCCCAGTAGGGGGCGTGCAGGAAGCAGCTGATCAATGATTCTGTCTCATCATTGATGTTTCTATCTCTCCCTCTCCCTTCCTCTCTGAAATCAATAAAAATATATTTTTTAAAAAGAAAAAATAAATAAATAAAATGGGGAAAATATCTGCATTTCAGACTTCTTGTTAGGATTAAGTGACTTAATATATGTAAAGCCTTTGGGGCAGTGCCTAGCACACAGTTAAGTCCTCAAACAATATCAGTTGCCTTCTTTCTATCTAATTCTCTCCCACATAATCTGCTTCATTCCACTGGTGTCCAACACAGACCCTATATCTTTCCTTCAAACACTCCCTCTATTCCTCCCAAACAAATCTTCCAGTCCTCTAATCCTGCACCCAGTCTCTATCATCCCCATTCCAGTGTCTTTCAACTTTCTGAGCCTTCAAGAAAAATGTCAGAAAGGGGGTCCCTTATTGTACCTTCTACCAGAAAGTCCCTCAAAAATAAAAGCAAGAGAAAAAGGTTTGTCCTCTCCTAGATGTACAGACAGTTACATTCATTCCCAATTTCACTATATATTTACTGAAATTCTAATGTCTTAATCTACCAGTCCTACTTCCCCACCTTTACTCCTTACTTCTCTACTCATTCCAGATTCAAAGATTTTATCTTTGTGAAGACCTTTACTCTCATACATGTTATCTATCTTTTGAATTGTTGGAAAGAAATGTTTACATCTCCTACTCACCATACATAATACTGGAATGTTTCCTACCTCCACTATAGTATATACTCAGGAAATGTCTACTTTCTCCCCTAAATCAAACTTAAGAGAAAAATACTCAATGCAATCATATAATTTACCACTCCCCAAACAATCTGTTAGTTTACCATATGCCATTGTGGATACATACCATCACTATCACTGGTATGTGTCTGTGTCAGAACAAGATTTAACTTTTTTTTCCCCAAGAGTTTCTAGTTTTTTTAATCAGGCCTACAAATAGCAAAACAAATCTCTTGGAGACAAGTCTCATTAATAGTAAAAGGCTAATATAAAGATCACGAAGAAGTTCACAGAGAACTCCTGATGAACTGGCATTTGTCTTTTCAGTGCTACTGATAAAAGGCTCCTTGGATTACAGTTATTTGGGAAATTTAATAATTGGGAAGGCTTGTACAATGGAAGTTGACCTTTGGAAAAATAAAGGCAGAGGGAGTCATAGAGAAAGTCTGTTATTATAATATTGGCACAACAACAGTAACTTGAATAGAAACAGCAATCATGTTAATGTTTATTTTTTTAGGTCCAGACCAGTATGTCTATTTGCCACACACAATGAATTTTTTGTTTTTCCTTTCAGGTAGGGCCAAGGATACTCCAAGGTTTGGTTCTTGATAAATTCAACTTTAAAAAAAAAACAGCCTGTAAAAACAAAAATTCTACTTGAGCCCTTAAAGATTCTGATTACTGAACTTTTGACATGAGAGAAAAAATACTACTACAAATCACCAGAGGCTAGTCCAGTAGCAAAATACACTGTTTCTCTAGAATCAATCCTTAAACATTCAATAACAGCCCTCTCTCCCTTTTTTAAAAATATATTTTTATTGATTTCAGAGAAGAAGGGAGAGACAGAGAGAGAGAGAAACATCAATGATGAGACAGAAACATCAATTGGCTGCCTCCTGCATGCCCCATACTGGGGATCGAGCCTGCAACCCGGGCATGTGCTCTCAACCAGAATCAAACCCGGAACCCTTCAGTCTGCAGACTGATGCTCTATCCACTGAGCCAAACCAGCTAGGACTTCTCTCCCTTTTTTAATTCCTAATTAGAGGGCATTTCACTGTCAGTTATAGGACTTCCATTCAAGGGGAGAAGTGACAGAAAGAAAAAAATTCCAATTAGCTCTTTCTCTTCAACGAGGCAGAGGAGGCAGAGATGCAATTTTTGTGAAGACCCAGACTGGCAAAACCGTCACCCTCAAGAGGTCAAAGCTAAAATCTAAGACAAGGAGGGTATCCTGCCTGACCAGCAGCGTTGATTTTTGCTGGCAAACAGCTGGAGAATGTCTATACTCTCTGAGACTGCAATATTCAGAACGAGTCCATCCTGCACTTGCTGTTTCATCTGCGGGGTGGTATCATCGAGCTCTCCCTCTGTCAGCTCACCCAGAACACTGCGACAAGATGGTCTGCCACAAAGACACAGAAGCACAAAATGACTATATTGTTACCCTGACTGTACCCCTGCCAAATGCCACAAGAAGAGTGGCCACACCAACAACTTGTGCTCCAAGAAGGTTAAATAAGTCCCTTCTACCACCTCTTCAGCCCACAGGGCAGCCTCCTGCCTGAATCCCGTAGTCTTAGGGCCTCAATAAAGTTTCTCTTTCATTGTCTGGGAAAAAAATTAAAAATTGCCAATTACTGTACTATCTGCAATTAGTTACACATAGGAAATACATTCACTTGGAAATTTCTTCTAGTAAGTTAACTTCCTTCGGCATATAACTACTAACTGTTTAAAGCTTCAAACAATTTTTAAAAACTTGCCTTGCCCTGGCCAATGTGGCTCAGTTGGTTGGAGCATCGTCCCATACACCAAAAGGTCACAGGTTCCATTCCTGGTCAGGGTACATACCTAGGTTGTGGGTTCAGTCCCTAGTTGGGGTGAGTATGGGAAGCAACCAATCAATGTTTCTCTCTCACATGGATGTTTCTATCTCTTTCTCTCTCACTTTCCCTCCTGAAGATCAATGAACATATCCTCAGATGAGGATTAAAAAACAAAACAAAGAATTTGCCTTTTATAAATTTATATAATTCAGTTCAATTCTCCTTCTGCACGTTCCATAATTCCATCTTTCCTGGCCATATATAAACCTCGCTGGAACACCTATAGGTCAGTATGTAAAATATTCACTGGCACTTGCTGTTACCATAAAGTGCCTTGTACTATTAGTTGGCCTTCTGATATTCACATCTTATCTCCAATTTGACTATCATTCACTCATTCAAAATTTACCAAACTGAATCCACCATGTACCAGGTGCTGCTCTAGGGCCTAGGGATACAAATGAAGAAGAAAAGCCACAATCCTACCTTCAAGGCACTCCAGTCTGAAGAAAGAAATCTAAACATGTTATTAGTACCCAATGGTGCAGGAATAGGTATAGAAAGCAACCAGTTTAGCTGGATGGGTTAGGTACGTTTCTCAAACTGAGTCTTTAGGATATGTAAGAGCTTAACAGGCTGGAGAACAAGATACATTCTAAATAGAATTCAGATCCTGTAGGTTTGCACCTTTCTTTTACACTTTTAAAATTTTTAAGTGTGCCTAACAAACTGCTTGGCACATAGTTGATGCCTAATAAATATTTGTGGACCTCAATTATTCATGTTAGCCCTTATGTGTGGATAACTGAGATTTAATCTATATCTAAAATAGCCGGTTTGATTCAGTGGATAGAGCGTTGGCCTGTGGACTGAAGGGTCCTAGGTTCGATTCTGGTCAAGGATGCAAGCCCAGGTTGTGGGCTTGTTCCCTGGTGGGGGTGTGTGCAGGAGGCAGCTGATCAATGATTCTCTCTCTATCACTCTCTCCCTCTTCCTTCCTCTCTGAAATCAATAAAAAAGTATTTAAAAAAAATTAAAAATAGACATGTGAATTACTTACTGGTTTTAAATGTCATCATTCACCCCATAGATATGTAATGAAGGTCTGTATGAATAAATATATTTGTACAGTTTGTCCACAGAGAGAATAGTTTCTCATCTGCTGAATATGAACAAATAAATACATTTGTACAGCTTGTCCACAGAGAGAATAGTTTCTCATCTGCTGTAAATTTTTGTTTTTAAAGCACTTTAGCAAATATGTCATTTATTTTATTTTTTTAATGTTTTCATTGATTTTTTTTTAGAGAGAGGAAGAGAGAGGGATAGAGAAATAGAATCATTGATGAGAGAGAGAGAAAGCGATCGGCTGCTTCCTGCACACCCCCACTCGAGATCGAGCCAGCAACCCAGGCATGTGCCCCTACTGGGAATCAACTGGTGAACTCTTGGTTCATGGGTCAATGCTCAACCGCTGAGCCACATGCTATTAACCATTTGTATGCGATACGCATCTATAGACACAAGCGGTGGACCATTTTTAATTAAATTCAAAATATCGTGGCAGTTAACTGGTTAAGAAATCAAAGTAATAACTAAATTCTGAACAGGATAAAACATTTAAAAAAGCAAACAAAAAAAAACAAGAAATAAATAAAACACCAACTTTTAACAAATTACTTCTGTCTAAAGGGGTAAAATGCCTGGAAGCATCAAAGCAATCACTTTCCTCACAGTCACATTTATTCATATTTATTTGTAAGAAAGTTACATTTCTTCCTTTTAAGGAAGGGCCACCATCAACACAGCAGCATGCAGGTCACTGCAATTTTCCCCTAATGAAAACCATAACCTCCCGACTCAATCATTCAGTAAGCATTTATTAAGGACCTACTCTGGGCCAGGCAGTCTGCTAAGTGAAGGGACACAGCAACCAATAAGTCATCATCCCTGCTTTCTGTAAGTTCATCTAATGGGCTGGTTCCAGAGTCAACCCCAAGATAGGTATCAACTAATTTCCTTTATTCAACGAAGACTTACTGAGTGCCGGGCACCAGAAACGGGGGTAGAAAATGAGGAAATTCTAAAAAGAGATCCTTTCAAAATTTACTAAACAACTTACACTTTTGAATTATTAAAACCGCATGTTCTTCTCCAAGAATGCCAACCATCAGAAGTTGGCTGTAAAGGTTTTTGATGATAACAACTAACCAAATATTTGAGTCAAAGATACCGTTTCCCTAATCCTCCTACTTAGTGAGACCAGACAGATACTGTCCTGGACTGATACATTTTTATTATTTATTTTAAGATCCATTTTGTGGTTGATCTTACCAACAATCTGAGATAAGCTGTTTCCTCTGTAGAAAGATGCTTCCAGTAGAATGCACTGTAAGCCTCGCAGGTCAAACATGTGACAAATCCTGTTACACTTTCTTGCCACCACACAGTTGGTCAAAGCAATATAGGCAATTCTTCAGGATGACATAGCACCAGGCCAAGTTTTCAGGGTGACAGGTCTCTGCTTTTCCTTCTCCCTTCCACAAAAAGTACAAAAAGTATCAATTAGTAAACAAGTCATCTGGCAAATATCCCATTTTCCTCTGACTACTTGAAATTAATCCAGAAAACCAACCCTTATGAGTTGTACCCAATTAATATTTGTAATATTATTATTGATAGTGGTGATGAGAGCAACTGCTAGCTTGCAGTTCACAAAGGACTTTAAAATACATTACACCGTTCAATGAAAAAGATGGAGAGAGGATAAGAGGAAATATGATAGGCAACTATCTCAAATATCAAACATTAAACCCAATTTAACTGGAATTGGAAAGCAAGTATTTTCAATCCTACCAAAGGGTCAAGTTATTTCTATAAAAAAAAGCAGACGATTGACTCTAGCAATGCCAAAATCATAAATTTCCTCTTACATGTGTCCTTAAATGCTAGGCCTAATTGATTCAAGTTGTAAATGTTAAGACCACAGTCTCAGCAAGAATCTGATACTATAAATCTTTGTTACCCCAACCCCTTTCCCAAATGATTTACCCATAATTTAAGGCTCAATAAATATTCTTTGGAAGAAATACTTAACAATGAGGAAGCTGCCCAAGAAAGACAAACTGACAATACACTTAGCATTCAAGTACCTTTTTTTAGGATTTAACTAACACTTATTGTGCACCAATAAAAGCACTAGGTTAGACACAGCCACATAAATCATCTCATTAACCTCATGAGCATGCCTAGATACACTTGAATCCCCAAAACTAAACTGACTGGATCTGCAATACTAAATTGTTTTAATACTTGCAATCTTGATCCTACCTAAGTAATCCCTAGAACTCAACTGGACCTCAATTCCTACTGGAACTCAGCTCTTCACTCTCACAGACTGAAAGCATTTTTAATGCTTTCTACTAGGTAATACTCACCAAAAAACTCCTTGTGTCTATTTTTAAGCTCCTAGCTCCAGAATAAACACCATTCTTCCCAGTATGGCACACTGTGATAGTGGCCACAATCTAAAACAAATACTCTTCTTGAATCACACTAGTCAGAGAATAAACCTAGAATTCTAACTAACAAATGAATTTCAGCTGGGCAGAAGACATTGGATTTTAAATAGTCTTCCCAACCTCGGGACTATTTCCTAGTCATCTGAATACAAAAGCCTTCTCTATTTGAGTGAATCACAGAAGGCAAATTTGACCCACGGTTCATCAGAGAGAAGTGGGGGGCGGGGGGGAGAAAAAATATTCCAACTGGCATGACTACATTACAATGTTAACAACACATTACTCACCATTGTACTACAAGAAAGAACTTGCAAGTGGGCAAGGAACATTCAGGAAGCCAAGGAAACAAACAAAACTCTCCCAGTCCTCAAAGCACAAATACATTCAAGTGCCAAAGCAGGTCACACTGTCCAGTTTATCCCCAGGTATGAGTGGGTAAAGAGGGAGTGGCAACAGGGGAGGGGAAGAGAGGAAAAGCATTATTGGGCAGGTGTGCTTGTCAGCACCAAGGCAGATTTCTTTCTTGAATTCATCAAGAACCTTTTTAACAAAGAAATATTGGGAGTTCCACCTATTTTTATCACTTGATTTATTTATATAATCACAGAGAACCAGCAATATATGTAAATGGCAGCATAATCTGATAATGGTTGCAGACATTCCCTTGGGAATCCATCAGATGTATTTCTAAATCCTAGCTCTGTCACTTCCTTTTTTAAAATTTATTTTTATTGATTTCAGAGAGGAAGGGAGAGGGACAAATAGATAGAAACATCAATGATGAGAGAATCCTTGACTGGTTGCCTCCTGCATGCCCCCCACAGGGAATCAAGCCAGCAACTCAGGTATGTGCCCTGACAGGGAATCGAACCCTGACCTCCTGGTTCATAGGCTGATGCTCAACCACTGAGCCACTTCTTGCTGTGTGATCTTGAGCAAGTTACTGCACTTCTCTGTGCCTTAGCAGGAACCTCATCTCATATTCACTGTGTTATCCTCAGCACCTTAAACAGTGCTTAACTATTTTGGATGAACTAATAAGTATTCCCTTAACACAATAATAAATATTTTGAATGAATTAACCTTTAAATAGGTTTAAAAATATCTAACATATGTAATTGTTATGAGTATTAAATGAGGTAATATATAAAGTGCTTAGTATAACTCAGGGTAGGATCTCACTATTAAGTTTTCTTCCCTTTAATACCCAGCCAGATCAGAAGTTATAACAGATGAGTCATGGCAAGAATTAAGATGGGATAAGAATTACAGAAGCCAAGCATTAGATGTTTACTACTAGGGACCCAGTCATAAAATCCAGGAATATTTAATCTTGGCAGATGAAATTAAATAATGATGCCCTTATAGTACCTACATAATAAGTATTAGTTGATCCAGAAAATACTATTTTGAGTCTTCAGGTATCTGATATCAGACAGATTAAAAGCCTTGTTGAAAAGAAAAATAGAGGAGCTCTAGCCAGTGTGCTCAGTGGTTAGAGCAGGGGTGGGCAAACTTTTTGACTCAAGGGCCACAATCGGTTCTTAAACTGGACCGGAGGGCTGGAACAAAAGCATGGATGGAGTGTTTGTGTGAACTAATATAAATTCAAAGTAAACATCATTACATAAAAGGGTACGGTCTTTTTTTTCAATAGTTTTATTCATTTCAAACGGGCCGGATCCGGCCCACGGGCCGTAGTTTGCCCACAGCTGGGTTAGAGTGTTGGCCCATGCACCAAAGGGTCATGGGTTCAATTCCCAGTCAAGGGCATGTACCTAGATTTCAGGTTTGATCCTCAGCCCTGTTCAGGGTGCATGTGGGAGGCAACCAATCAATGTCTCTCTCTCACATCAATGTTTCTCCCCGCCCCACCCCCCTTCCCATTCTTTCTAAAATCAATGAAAAAAATATCCTTGGGTGAGGATTAACAAAAAGGAAAAGAGAAGAGAATGAGTTGCATCTTAAATATACCTGTATACATATTTAAAAACCAAATATAGCCAATTCAATTCCCAGTCAGGGTATATGCCCAGGTTATGGCTTGATCACCAGTAGCGTGTGTAGGAGGCAGCTGATCAATGTTACTCTCACACATCAATGTTTCTCTCTCTCTCCCTCTCCCTTCCCCTCTCTCTCAAATCAGTAAACACATTTAAAATATAAATATATAGATATAGATATACATATATACATATATATAAATTTATTAGAAGGCTGTTTAATTCCCTAAAAACTTCCTATTAGCATAATAAATAAAAAAATTTTGATCCACAGTATTTACTGGCTTTTTTTAAAAATATATTTTATTGATTTTTTACAGAGAAGAAGGACAAGGGATAGAGAGTTAGAAACATCGATGAGATCGATCACCTGCCTCCTGCACGCCCGCCGCTGGGGATGTGCCCACAACCAGGGTACATGCCCTTGACCGGAATCGAACCCGGGACCCTTGATTCTGCAGGCCGACGCTCTATCCACTGAGCCAAACCGGTTCGGCAACTGGCTTTTTTTTAGGTAATAAGATCAGTGCAAGTAAATTGTTCTTAACTGCTGACAGGGTAAACAAACATGAAAGATTTGGGTCCAAAACTCTTCTCCTACTTTTACTCCAGAAAGGCTAATGGTGCCTTTGAGGCTACTTCACTGACAGCTTGTAATCAAAGCAACCTATCTACACACAGGGGGAAGAACTCTTTCATCTTCAAAACTAAAATTCGGAGAGTAAATGCAATTAAATCCAAAATTTGAAGGAATATTTTTCCTTGACTATGAAGAACTGAATCTCAGAGGAAGACAGCTTGAAGAAACCGGAGCCACTGTTGCATTATGAGCCTGATAGAGAGATGTATACATACGTAGTGTCTAAATATGAGGAAAACCTATGCAGAACTGAAACAGCTTGTGGTTAAACCTCATCATAATGTGGTCTTGGGCTTCCCATTTCACTTCCCAGGCATCTGCTCTTTTAACCATTAAACCCGTCTCCTAAGCAATATAATACAGTAGAAAGAGCACTGAATGACAGTCAAAAGAATGGGCTCTACACCAAGTTTTACTACTTAAACCAGTTGTTTAAATTCTCTGTATTCAGTATTAACTGAGAATGTGGGGCTAGACTCAGTGCTCTTCAAAAATTTCCACCCAGGTATCCCTTTGGAGAGATATATCAGAAACTAACCAAACCCGGCTCTCCTACTGCTATAATCCAGATAAAAACATATACATTGTTCTTATCTACTCATTTCCCACACAAAAACAGTTACCAAATTCTATTTATGTTTCTTCAGATCACTCCAATCTTCCAGTGTCTGCACTGCCACCACTCCTGCAGAGACTCCTTCCCAGGATTACGATAGTCCTCCAACTGCTCTCTCTTCCTCACTGTACACCACCCGGCTGAATCAATTTTCCCAAAGTACTAATTTACACATAAAATCTCCTGCTTGTGGCCTGGACAGTATGTCTCGGTGGTTGAGCTTCAACCTATGAACCAGGAGGCTGGGTTCAATTCCTGGTCAGGGCACATGCTTGGGTTCAGGGGCATGCAGGGGACAGCCAATTGATGATTCTCTCTCATCACTGACATTTTTCTCTCTCTCCCCCTCTCCCTTCCTCTCTGAATTCAATAAAAAATAATTTTTTAAAAAAAGAATCCCTAGGATGCTCATCAGTCAAAATAATAAAGGTAAACTAGGCCATTAAAAAAATTATCTGCTTGTGGATTTTTCACTCTAAGGATAAATCAAACTTCTCTGCCTGAGATTTAAGGCGCTCTCCAACTTTACTAGTCTCATTGCTCTCCTCGGTGAAATACCATGCAACAAACTGTCTACTCAGTCTGCCCCCAAACCAAGTTGGGCTCAGCTCACTGCTCTCCTGTCTTGAATGTTCCCTCTATACTTACTCAGTCTTCTCCCCTGAGGCCTAGATTATCCTAAAGGTAAAAATTTGCCCACATACTACCTCTAACGCCATATAACTCTATATAACTGTACTCCTCACTTGACATTTAA